ACGGTCTCTCCTGCCCGGGCTGGCTTTGAACCGCGATCCTCAGATCTCAGCCTCCTGAGTAGCTAGGATTACAGGCGTGAGCCACCAGCGCCCGGCTAAAACATGCTTTCTTTAGGTATTATTTGAGCCGAAGTTATACCAAAGAGAAAGCATCAGTTCCTGTCACTTTGGAAATCTTATTTTCAGCACAATAATGATCTGAGAAAATTTCAGTGTGGGAAGGCTGACTTATCAAATTCTGCAAATGCTAAGCTAAAGATAAGGTGTTCATGCAAGACATTCTCTGGGCCTTTTACTTCACTGGTTATCAAAAGACAAATTTTGTTACTGATTTGTTTCATAACATAGGAAAGTACAAAAGGCTTCTAAACAACAGCAGATAACTTTTAGCCCAGAACTGTTTAACAATATACCCTTTGTTGTTTTAAATCAGATATTTATATTTTAAATCATATAGAAAAGTAAAAGATGATTAATCCAATAAAAAACTGAGATTCTCTTCACAGTTTACAGTAGAAAAAATAGACACATGCGCACACACACACACACACACAACCTCACAAATATAAAAAGATCAAAAATACACAGTGCTGGGCACCAGTGTAGCCTTTGTTGTTTCAGGTGTGTCTTTTGGTTAAGTAACATTTTCTACAGAATGGTCTAGTACAGAATATGTTTTGCCCTAATTCTGTCATTTACGAAACAAGCAGTAAATTAGCCATATGTGATCTAGTCAGGTCATGGGCTCTTTGGGTCCTCTGTATAATGTGTCACTGAAGACCTTACCTTAATGCAACATTAAGCAGGTCCTTACATGTCATGAGCTTGATAGGACAATTTTTCACACCCAAACTGGATGTGCCATCTTAAGATTTAAATGGAATTCTGCATGCTTGTTACATTTTAATTACCTTTTGAAAACCATTGATATTTAGCACTTTTTTTCCCAAATACCTTACTGGATCAAGCATCATCTGTGGAAGTGTCTAGATTATTGATTCATTGACAGCATCTGTGGAAGTGTCTTCTATTGATTCATTGACAGTATCTTTGGAAGTGTCTTCTAGACTATTGATTCATTGACAGATCTATTGTTGATCTTCTAAGCTGGATGGCTAAATGTCAAGGCACCCTCTACAGGTTTTTTGTTGTCAGTTTTTTGCCAGACCTGGGGCTTGAACTCAGGGCCTAGGCACTGTCCCTGAAGTGCTTTTTGCTCAAGGCTAGCACTCTATCACTTGAGCCACAGTGCCACTTCAGGCTTGTTCTGTGTTTGTGGTACTGAGAAATTGAACCCAGGGCTTCATGTATGCTAGACTAAGCCACATTCCCCAGCTCTTACAGGTATATTTCAATACTGAAAATTTTGCCAAACAGCCTCTCAGCATAAATTTGGGAGCAATTTTTAGGCCACTTCAAAGTTTTGGAAATACAAGTCATCTTGTTGCTGCCTAGGGTGACTGTTTTAGTCTCTGCATGTGTAAGATTGCTTCCCCTTTCCTCTCTCCATAACCTGTCCCTTCCTGGAATGTGACCTAGAACAAAAAGTTTCTTTCCTCCCTCCCTCACAGGGCAGGCTTTTATCTTGTGTGTGTGTGTGTGTGTGTGTGTGTGTGTGTGTGTGGTGCTACTGTAGATGTTTGCCCATATCTGTCTTAACAAAGGGCAGCAAACGTGTCATTCATCCGTATTCTTCTAGCATGATGGTGTGCCAGGTGGACAGCAGCACACGTGTCTGTCCAGCTCAGAATGCACTTCGTATGATTCATACCTCCAAGAACACTGGCTGTTTCAGCATATGCATGAAAGACTAATGAAGCCTCACATTCTTGTCATTTTATGGTGCCTTGATCACACAGTGGACAGCACCTGGTGTGCCTTCCAATAATCTCTGCTGCCTGAGACTCCTTTGGGGAACATGAAGAAAAAAAAAAAGGAATCCTACTCTCTAATTATCAGCACCCTTTCTATAGCTTCTTAGCTTCTAGGTCTTGATAATGCAAAAGCAAAGTACTACGTGATAGATACCCAGCATGGAAGGAATTAAGATTGGTTTTCTATCAACACTGAACCCCAGTCCTGCAGTTACCAGATGTGAACATGGAGGTAGCTTTCAAATGAAGCCTTGGACACCACAGGCCCAGCACAGTCCCGTTTCCATTCTGTCAGTTTCTGCTGCAAAGAATCCACCCAGAGAAACTATTTAATTCCTCCCCTGCAGAAGCTTTGAGATTACAACAACAACAAAAAGTTGCTCTGGCTGTCCAGTTTGAAGATAATTTGTTATAGATAACATCCATTTTTACTGTTAAAAACAAACGTAGAGACAATGATAATACAGTTCACTCTGTCATAGCGGAGTATCCGAGTATGCCCTTTCTGTTTTTTTGGTAACTAGTCAAAAGTCACAAGAATTTTCCTTTCCCCAAATGGTTTTTTCCCCTCGTGTTACAGAAAAACACTGGCCTGGGTGGGAACGAGTGCCCCAACTCCCGCCGAGCTCCCCAGGCCGGGCTGTGGCGGGGGAGCGGCTTCCCTCCCGGCCTGCGGCAGCCTCTTCCCGGCTGCTCCAGCCGGGCTGGCCGGAGCGTGCAGGCCTCTGCCTGCACCACGGCTGGATCCTAACCGGGCCCTGACTGCCGGGAGGTCTGAGAACTGGGAGTTAAACAGGCGGGCTAGTGGGGCGCCCCTGGGGTACCCCGCTCCTTGGGGAGCGCGCCTATCCACAGAATCGGACAAAGCCACCGGGAAAGGGCGAGAAAAGGGCGGCGGCCGGTGGGGCCGGCCAGGCCTGGGGGGTCTCCCCTCCCCCCTGGTTCCCCCCCCGTCCCCCCTCCCCCAGGCCGCCCTCCCCCTGGTTCCCCTCGGCCCCCCTCCCCGTGCCCCTCCCCCAGGCCCCCTTCCCTCCCCTGGGCCGCGGGTCGCCCCGTTTTCACCTGGCTCCCTTCGAGGCCGGCCGGCTGGCTGTGCCTGGAGCTCCTCCGGACGAGGAGCGCGGCCCCGGAGGACCCGCTCGGGGACCCCCGAGGGGACCCCCCTCGGACACCCCCTCGGAGGACCCCC